AATATTTTATATATTAGTTACGTATTCTTAAAATAATGAAATATTTTTTCCTACAAGTTATAAAACCATTTACAGAATTATAAATACATGTTCAATTTACATAACGTAACTATTCCTACTGCCCACTCCTGCAGATATTATTTGTGTAGAATGTTTCAATTGCTCTTCGATAGGTCACCTGCAAAGGGTTCAGGTATAATAGAGTACACGTAGAAACCACGTAATTTTGTCGCAACTAAAGATAGGCCCGATACTTCCGCCGCGTTTCTTCATTCAGCGTCTGCCTATGATGCGGCAATACTACTTTCTCATTGCATTACTTATGAGCGGCTATCTGCAGATCGAACGACGTTAACTCGCGGTATGCGCGCAAAAGCGATCGATGCTGTGCTATAAGCGCAATAAAAATACAGTAACGTCGCTAAGAATAAGATCGCTCGTTCGCTACCGAGACAATTTTTTCCCATCCACTACCAATCGGCGTGTCGCGAAACAGCTCGAAATTTCGCAACTCTTAAGTCACCAACATTCTTATCGTGTCGTTTCGCAAGAAGACGCGATCGATACTTGTACTCTAAATCCGTGCTCGCTATTCTGATCACGAATCTCACGACGTGTTCTAATGCCGAATTTTATTCGTGGAAATATCATATCTGAGTCGCAGACGCAGACGGGAGAATTGGACAATTATATTTGGCGATAATTGCACGACGAAAATAACCTGATTAGCACACCACGGAATCGAAATGTATTATTTATTTATGAAGATGTTTACGAGATCTCGAGTGTCGATGGAATTACTAAAGATTCCTCACGATATAAATATCAAATTATTTAAAATTAAATAACCAAAAGTTGGTGAATGTGGAATTAATCGATCGAGCTCTTCTTGTCAAAATTTATAAAATAAATCGTATTGGTTTTCATTAATTTATTTACGTTTCGGAAACGTTTCTTCATTTAATTAATTTTACAATGTCGATATTCCGACGTAGATAATGCCAATGTTGTACAGGTATCGACTTGCAGCATGTATCTTGTGAAATATTGATTTGGTACCGACTAAATATAAAAGTAATGATATTCTATAAAATTTAAGTATTTCTATTTGTGCGGCGATAGTTCGTATTGATGTACCATCAAAGTGCCCTACCATCCTATTTGCTAACGCCCACGTCGAGAATTTGCAAATGTCACGAAAAACGTGAAAGTATAATTTATTGGAGAAATGTTTTTCCGTTTAATTAGTAAATGTAATTAATTGTAACATAAAGTCAATATTCTGATCCAATACAAGCTACCGACAAAAATTTCAATTTACATTTATGCATAACTCTCGTCCGCAAAGATTTTCGAAACAATTAGATGAATTTTTTTAGCATCACGACTCGAATCAAACTGTAAAAGTTAAATTTTTTCTATTATTATATTTAATTAAACAAAAAATAATTGTTCGTTGATGAATATGCTAAATTATCTTTTCAAGAAGATTTAAATTAAAAGTAATTAATCTCTTTCTCTCTCTTTCAGAGGAATTTTTTGAAATTTTTTTCTTAGGAAAACTCTCGCATAATATGACAAACTCATATAATTTTTGCTGTGTCATCATTTAAACATACAAAAAAAATTAAGTCATAATTTGATTAAAGAATATTCGACCGCCAAAAAAGTGGTCAAAGAAGCTCTCGTTAAGAAGTTATATCATGTTCATGAAAGATGTAGATTAATATAACACAAACGGATAATTCTTAATAGCCTTAATTTCTCGTTCCCGCATTATGCGTAATAATGAATTTCTAAAGATCGCGAAAAACATACACCCACGAAAATCCTTGAAATAACTAGCTTTCAGCAGCGAAATTATCGATGTATGTGAGTATATATTATGTATATACATATGCCCTTTTTTCGAGCGCAATCGGGCGAAACTTTGCGTAAAAAACAAGAAACGTAAAAACGCGAAAAAAAAACAAATTGAATCATCGACGCATAAACATAAAATAAAAGATAAAAAAAAACGATTGAAATTTAGAGAAATATATTATTTTACTTATATATTATTTTACTTTATTTTAAAATTAAAATAGTAGATGAAAATAAAATTATCGTTTTTTGCAAAAACAATCGTGTAGCTCTCTAATGAAATTTAAAAACTGATAAAAATGGAATGTAATTTTAGATTTTATAAAGTTCAGCTCACCTGAAAGCACCGTGGATTTCCCTGCCCGAGGCCATCGTCACTGCGATATCAGGTAACGATCCTGCAATGAATGAAAAAGCATTTTTCATATAAGCAGTTTTCATATAAATGAAATAATCATTTTAAAGAAGAGGGATAGAATTTTCCGCATATTGAGAGTCTCCCCGTCACGGCATCCTTACATCCGTTCTCATTTCTTTCTTTAAATAAGGCGATTTTTCTTACGCTCGCACAAATCGCTTTAACGTGAACGAGGACGACGCTCTTCATCTTCCGTGAGTTTTCTCATGCGAAACGAAACTTCTCTTCGGTAAAGAAAACAACTTGATCGTTATTCTTGAATACGAAACGAATCCGCAATCACATCGTCCTTGTCCTTTTAATTGCAAGCATGACGAAGTTGAAGGTAGATTAAAATAATTATGTAGGACGCTCAAGTATAATGAACAATGTTGCAAAAAGTTTTAACATTCTGGTAATCACAGTTATTGTACAAATTTACAAGCGCATTATAAAAAAAACATAATGAAAATATGAATAATTGTAAGTGAAATTTAGATAAGAATAGATAAATACATTAGAAATGATACATTAGAAAAAATGTTTTGTTCTATAAACCAAAATTTTGTTGAAGTACATCGAATAAAAATTTTTTGATAAAACTATAATTTTACGTGAATTTAATTTTTTAATTAGCATAAACAAAATATTTTTGTTATTTACAAAGTAGAAAAATTATTTTATAAAAATAACAGCTACAACTATGTATAAACAAAATATTTGATTGTTGTTCCCACAAATTCCACAACTAAACATTTTTGTTAAAGGCACTAAATTTTTTTGCTACTATAAAAAAATTATATTTTCGGTCGGTACAAGCGGATCTTATTACTTGATAATATTAATATTTACAAATACATGCGAGACATGTTTGATATGAATAACGATAATTTTATGAATATATGTGAATTATCAAAATTTTATGTTATATATTTAAAAAAATTGTTCTAATCAGAATTTGGTCAGAAAAAAAATTTTAATTAAAACATAATTTTTAAATTGAAACAATAAAATTTTGATAGTAATTCACGCATCAACAAAATTATGATTATTTATATTAAACATTTCTCTCAGTGTATAGTGATGGACAGAATTGCGACACTTTTTGTCGATTCGGAATGCAGTCTGCTCATCGAGCAATTAATTTGTATTTATGGATCTAATCATTCACATTCAATCGCTTTACGAGCTGTACACATAAATGTATATCACTATACACTTTTCTGTATAATATTCTATATAATATTCTATATAATATTTTACATAATATTCGAAAATATCAAGTAAGATACAAATTAAAATTGAAAAGAATTTATCTCAATGAAATAAACGATGTTTAATTATTTATTAAATAATTTCGTAACATCATTTCGAAAATTTTCCAACGTCCTACGAGAAGTCTGTTAATATCCAACGTTTAAATGTAACTGCAAAATTTATCTCTGTTCCAATTATGACAATGCGCACAACTGTTAATCTAGAGGTAACATATTTCCAGCCACGGATGACGTGTCAGTACTTAAGGCTTAACGACGCGCAAAACTCGCTCTGTAATTCGCTCGGAGACAACGTTGTTATAATTCGGGCTTGGACAATGAAACCGTTCTCCTCCTCCGGGATTGGTATAATACCACGCTATACCTCATCGGCAACGTCACGCGTCCTCTGAGAAAGACTGTCGTGCACGAGGTATACCCCATTTATCCAAGGGACAACGAGTCATGTGTCCGCGATACGTTTCATCTGAAGGCTTTAAATTCTGAACGAGATCCATCTGATGAAAAACGATCCGATCCAAACGACAACGAGGCTTTATTCCAGCTCTCGTCGAGGAGAGCCTCTTATATAATTGTGCTTTAACAATTACAGTAACGAGAATTGCAGAGCAGATGTTTTTAGATAAAATTTAAGAACAGCGCTACTCTAAATTCATCAGTTACTTTAAATTTATGGTTAAAAACGAGCGGACTTCGTATAATCTTTGAGTTCCTTTTCGCAGAACTTACATAGAAAAGAAGGCTTTGCTGAAGTGTCTAAGAATTTAACTAAATACAGATCTGAAAATAAGTTTGTTGGGTTATTAAAATAATTATGTAGGACGTTCAAGCTGATTACTAGAATGTCAAAATTTTTTGCAGTATTGCCCATCATACGATTCCTATGTAATTATTTTCATGGTTCAATATTATTTTCAGACTTGCACGGAAAGAATAATTTTGTTGAAGTGTTTACAAATTACATTAGCTGCAAATTTAACTAGATACAGATCTGAAAATAATTTTGTTGGACTATTAAAATAATTACGTAGGACACTCGAGCGTAATAAATGATGCCGCAAAAAGTTTTGGTATTCTAGATCTGGCGTGGACATCCTACATAATTATTTTGACGATTTAATAAAATTATTTTCAAATATGTATCTAACTAAAGTTTTAGAAACTTCAGCAAAATCGTTCTTTCCGAGCAGTAGCACATAATTTGCAATTTTTGAAAATGTGAAATTAAGACGGCTTTGGATATAAGCTCTCGGATTTTTCAGCTATGTTACGACTAGAGAAATGCCATTATCTAAATATACGACAGTCGCGATTACTCTTGGCGAACCTTTTTACTTTATAATAACGTTCTATAAAACTTGATGTAATAGTCTAAAATTAGTTCAGCGGTCTCGCGGCAGGTCGATATCGAGCGTACTATTAGACAGATAGATACTATCTTAAATTTGGCAAAGCAAATGAACAACGCCGACCGTGCCACATTGATATTTTATAATGATAAACGTAGAAATCGGGTTTTCGAGATTTTAGGAAAGAAACCTCCGTGTCCAGCGAACGAACGGTCAGTTTATGAATTGTTGATCGTCCTGCACGAATGTCGAGGGTGACTTGATCGTGATAGATCGATTTTCTCTGTCCGGCATTATGCATCCGTCGACTGACACTGACATACCGTCGTCTTCTTTCATCTTTTATGGGACGCGCCTGCACGCGCTCGATTTTTCTATGCAAATTGCAATCCCTTTTTTTATTTAATGAAGATCGATTGACCGTCGCGCGTAATATCGAATCGTTTATGATGGGTTTCCTCGAGAGGAAGCTGTTCTCGTCTTTGATCATTCCTTTCATCCCTCGAGTATTCCCTCATTTAGATCAATTTGTCAGTCTTGACGAAGTTAAACTAACTAGAAATTTCAATGAAATATGAGCTGATACATCTATCTTTAACCAGAATAATTTGCCTATGAAGAGCGGAAGATAATTCATTTAATTGAAATAGTTTTTATCATACAAATTTAATTTATACACAAATCTAATTTTTTACAGTTTTTTTACAATTTTATTTTTAAAACATCATTTTTCATATTATATGTATATAGTATGTGTGTATTATATGTACGAGTGTTTCGTAATATCTTTTAGAAAAATATGAGAAATGTTATAAATAACAAGCTGTCAAATTATGTCAAACATTGTTCTTTTGTGAAACTTTTATTATACATACTTTAGAATGTTAAAACGCAAAAATTTCGAAACTGTAGCATTTAAATTTGATTCCTTTCAAAAGTATAAGCATGTTGTTTCGAGAGTTGCTAACATCTGGCAATGAAAGTTCTAATATATAAAGAGAAAGAGAGAGTTTTGACCTTTTCGATCGTCAGGAGTGGCCAATTATGTGCATTAATTGATACAGTTTCCGCGTCGAATTACATGATGGCACAGCATCGTGACAATGTTAAAGGTCACCTGTGTACAGATTTTCCCATAAATTGTGTTACACTTTTTCTCATTTAATTTTTTGCTGGATTGCGAGTTAACGAAAAAAATTTGCTTTAAATTTTTCAATTTTTATTTGCATCTCTTGATTTAAATGAATTAGAAATTAAATGTCTACTTCTCTGGAATAAAATTGTTTCATATATACAATTATTTATAAAAGATTTTATTTAGAAAGTTATGTGATTTTAATTTTTAAATGCTTAAATTTACGTTCAGTTTTTCATTTTAAGAAGAGACATTGATTCAAAATCTGCCAAGAAATATATAGGCGAAATCTATCACTTACGACATATGAGACATCTAGTACATTCTATGTGCAGCATTACACGAGATACATAATGTGCATACAAATACTATAATTAGTATCGATTTCTGCATTACGCGTCATACAGATACATCGGGTTCTCGTGGATTGTCATGAATAATCCTTGCACGACACCCGAGCTTTTGTTACAATGTCGCGTTTACGGGAATCAGAAAAGCGAATTAACATTATGAATTGTAGATTGAAAACGCAAGGGCACCGCGCCGTATAGCATTGAATAAATTAAAAACAAATTTGGACGAAGAATAATTCAATAATGAATAAAAAATACAATATACATACGTTATATGCGTTTTTCGCGAACAACGGTATATTCGAGAGATTAATTAAAATCGAAAAATTTAAGAAGATAAATTTTATTTAAACAAACGTTGAATTTATTCGTGCGATAATTTTATTCGCCAAATCAACGTTGGATATATCCGCGCGATAATAGTCCATTCGTCCATTCGAGATTAATTCAATACGCGATGTACCACAATATTCAGCATACATTAATTTTACAATAAATTGAATATTTCATAACGATGATAATCCGTTGATACATAGCGTTCAGTATTTCTTTTTACAATATCTTATTGTGACGCTACTATTCACAGTATCGGCGAACCAATGTGTGCGAACGCAATTATTTTACTATCATTTATAAATTATCATTGCGACAAAAACGGAGCAAACAGACAGCGATGCGAGACGCTCCGTCTGGCGTCGCGTTATTATTCTTCAAAATGCGATTATTCCTCATAATAATTATCAGCTTGATTAATTGACTCCCACGATTCATAAACATACATGTTGTTTCGAACGATGTCAGAGCGATATATTGAGATGATAGAGGATGAGAAACATGCGATTAAGATATTGAAGATCCTTCATCTTTCAAAATACGCTAATTTCTTG